AGAGCTGGGGGAAGATTCAACAGCGCGTGGCTCAGACTTCCTGAATTTAGCAGCAACTGATAACATTTTTCTTCTGCATAATCGTCACGTCGCCCTGTGAGCTTTTAGCATCTACAGCAACCTGTGTGAACACTAACACCCAAGTGCTCCCTGCCCATCGCATGCAGTACAGTCTGCTTTTAACTGGTTTGAGGTCGATACCTCGCAGCTTTGCTTCACCCCTCCCTTTCTGCTGTTGGAGGAGGCAGCGAGCAGTCACTTCCCACTTACCCTCTCCTGCCACTCACTATCTTCTAGCCAATTTTATTGCTTTACATTTACTAAGTCTAGAATTGAAGCCAACAAGAACCAGAATATTCATTCCCTTTATGAGACCACCATGAGAACTAGCAAAGGCTTATAATAACCTGAAAATGAGAATAAAGAATGGGAGCCACTGCTTTCCACCAGATAAAGAAAAGGCCGAGCTTATTGCGACGGCCCAATACTAGCAGAATCTAATTAAAAATGTTTCATTAAATCTTAGACAAAGCAGCAAACGCTGATCAGATCTTCCAATGTGAGCCTATCGAAACGGGCTTGATCCTGCGAAGTACTGAATGCTCACAGACCAAAGCACTAGGTCATGTGCTTAAATTTTAAGAATATGAATATTGCTATCAAAGCTGGAGCAAGAGCCTATGCACTCTGCTCTATCAGAGTGGCGAGTAATTAGTAACATCAAACCCATCAGTCCCGTATGAACATCACCCCCGAGCACTGAGGGAGCTGCAGGTGCTCTGCTGGGTCTCATCAGGACCAGAGCATTTGTCAGACATTTCAGAATAAGACTTCTCCAGTTTTTGCTAAGCCTGCTAACCCTAAAATACCATTTTAAAGTAGTTCCACTTTTCTACAGAAATATCTTTACTAGGACTTCTAGGGACTTAAAGTTCTCAACCACGATTTGTATTATCTGAGCTCTACCAATTACATATGCCTGGTTCTGGTCACGATGCTTCATGTTTTATCAACCATATGTTTTAAAAGCACAACAGTGCTCTCAGAGGTACACTGGGACTAAACAGGTTAGAAACCTAGTTTGTAGTACAATTTCAACCAGCAAAAATGGCAAAGCTACTCCACATAATATTTGTTTTCATAAAAGTTGTGATTTCAGCTTCTGAGCTCGTGTGTCGCAGCAAAGGGCAGGAATATAGTGCAAGGCTTGAATATGCCTCTCATTTTCCTAACCATCTCTTAGGAACAGTACCATGTCAAGACACTGGAAAGTGTGCCCAGTGACGGAATTTTTTGTGCTTTTAAAGCATCATTCTGGAACATTTACAACTGACTTTTCTTTTTCTTATTAAAATGTCTGTTGCCTTAAATGTCCATGAATATGGCACATTTGACTATAATCAAACTGCACACGTAAACACACAAAACTAGAAAGTTACAAAACAGATGAAGAATCTGGTTTTTTTTAAAAGCTGTAATTGTTGAATTTCTTTCCCAAGTGTTTCTGTGCTTTTAAACAAGAAATTGTGAACACATTTGTACAGAATGCTAAAATTACAAGTTCAAAGAGGGAACACTCACAATGTGGTATTTGCAGCACAAAATTTTCTAAGCTAGCTTGTAATCCAAAGAAACACTTTACTCCACCCAATATTTGCTTTCTCTCTGTCTCAAAAGTCCAATTATTAATTTTAATATAAATAGTATGTTCTTCACCTTCGTTTATATATCTTTTGGATATATTAGTGTGCCAGCTAAGTATACACAGATAAGACATTATGTAAATAAAAGTAAATCATAATCATCCCCCCCCCCCCCAAACCCATGGGGGTGGGGGGGGAAATCTGCAATTAAAACACTAAGCAGCTAGGATCCCACTATGATTTTGATTCTAGACTTGAGACTCTTGGAATGTGCTAAGCCATTCCACAAAGCTCATTTTTCTTACAGGAAGTGATCTAATATACAAAGTACTTTACAATTTTCAATCAACAGAAATACAGATATGAATGTATTAAGCCAATATCTATAAAGCAAGACATTAGGTCACTTCCTGACAACTAATATCTAAAATCGACATTTGTTACTGCACAAAAGCGTGCTTATACAGCGTTAGTTGCAACAAGAACTGTATTTTTACAGAGTGGGTATATTGGCTCTGCTACCTCTGTAATCATTGCTGATGCATAATCCCTTCCCTGCCACTCCCCTGCATGTCACCCTCCAACATCCCTGCCTCACAGCTCCAGTGCAGTACTGTTAGCTAGAAGACAAGCTTTTTTTCCTTTTTTTTTTTTTCCCCCTCTTTTTTTTAATTGGCTTATTCAGAAATCTTTCTGTGGTAAAACCAAAACTTGGTTAGATAGTCCCGTAGTGAATTTAAGCAGCATTTTGGAGGGAAGAGGTCCTTTTTGAGGGGAGGGAGAAATAGAAAAGGAAGGGGGCTGTTTGTTTTTCAGAGCAGTTTGACAAAAACATCCCTCTCAAGAAAAAAGAAGGCCTCCATCAAAAGAGTGTCGGTGGGGGAGGAAGGGACAGACCTGGCAGTAATGGAAAGTCTGTTCCATAACAGGAGGCTCATAGTACATTAAATATTTATAACGAGCAAATGTGCTTGGTCTTTTTTGTACCCTGCCTGCGACCCCCACCCCAGTTTGACTGAACTAGGGAAACATTAACAGCACTTAACATATTAAGCATACTGAAACCTGGCAGCGTGTAAATGTGGCCAGAAAAGCCAGTCGTGCCAAACACCAGGTAGATAACCCCGAGTCGGGAAGAGACAAACTGGAGCGAGAGACGGAGAGGCTGGAAAGGCCGTCCCGCGGCCGTGCCGAGCGATGCACGCCGGGCGGCCACGCGCCATTTACTCGCTGGGTTTTTGTCAGTACTCAAAGTCTCTTGTTGAACAATCCTAACCACAAAGCAAGCTGTAATCTAAAAATCAAGCCGCAACTTGCTTTAATGTTGAACCAAAACTGCGATGACTAAGAAATAAAGTCAATGTTGCTGAACAGGCTACGGCTGCCTTTTCTGTAACATGCATAAATGTAGGTTGATCATTATCGTTTAAGCTGGAGTTTAAAATTTTTCCCTTCAGTATTCAATTCTGGCTGTTTGTGAACTATGTGGGGCACAAATACTGATTTCTGATTTTAAGTTTTTACCCCAAACAGAAATGCTCAGCTACTAGACATTGGTCAATACAAACAACAGGTATTTTCCAGTGGAGCAAAAACTGAACCAGTGTAAGGTTAAAGACACAATGGCACACTGCTGTCTCTTACCATTATTCATCTGTCTTTGGTGGTTTGTTGAGCTATATAGCATTGATATTCAGCTCAGATAAGCATGTAAAGAGACAGCTATATACATTTAAAAGTAAGTACCTTCAAAACACTATAAAGACAATGCAATGGAAAAACAAAACAAGAAAATAGGCAGAAATCCAGTCCAACCAGGTTATGAACCTGACTCAATAGAAACCACCTAAGCTTACAATAACTTTCTGAAGAAATAGATGAGTCCAAACTATCTTGATTGCATAGTCAGCAATTTCCTATCCATTACAAATGACTTAACTGCCTAAGTTACTTCATGCCTCTCCTACCCAAACACCTTTCCCTGTAAGCATAGTCTTGCAGTGTGTTATAAGTAAGATTTTTGTGGTCCTCTGAGCAGCTCGGTGACCGCCAGTCACTAAACAACTCAGTAAATCATACTCCTATTCTGCACAAGAATCAATACACAGTGGTCTATAAGCCCTGACAATGGAAATCTCACACTTGCTTAGAGAATTTTTCCCATAACTAGCAGTTTATCCAGAGAACTCGCTTCCTAAACATGACACGTACACTCCGTGTAAGTTTTATGTAAAACAACTTTCAATAAGATTTACGAAATAGCTACAAAAATAAAGGCTGTGCTTATGAATTGTGTAAGTTAGATGCAAATTCCAGATGGAACGGGATCTCCAGAGTTTAAAAATATCATCAATCCAGGAAGGAAGTTTAGCTCCAGTGGATACTTCATCAATGTAAACTCTGTTCAGGTCAAACTTTCTAAACAAAAAGCCACAGTAACTCCACACTCAACAATTTACTGCTAGAAGAAAAGCTGGAGTGTTGTTTAGTGGTTCCTCACTCTTCTGCTCATTCACTTTACTATGCGTTGAAATACATTAATGAAACGTTCAACATTAAATATTGTTTAAGTGGTAACATTCATTCTTCTGAGTACATTCTGATGACAAATAACAGCTTAAAATCATGATGGCCTTGTTTTTTGTCTTGTTAAATCACAGCATGCATCTTTTTCTGCCATCTGTTTAAAAGTGATTTAATTAAACAGGAAAAGTCATATTGTGTTGTTTCATCCTATATAAGATTCTGAAACCAACCAGGACGGTGTTTATTTCAGTCCATTATTCCAAATCTAAGCTGCAAACCCTCTGTATTTTATTGCATTACAGCATAACTTTGTGGACTGGGAAGGTTTTTTTAGTTGTTCTACCAAAGACCACAAAATACACATAATTCATTTAAAACACTTCTCTTTTTAGTTCTATTTTTCTTTAGTCAAAGATGTTCATTAAAACTATCTGCCAAAGTATTACACTTCAACTATGAGTCTTTTAGCCTTTTATTCCTTTATATGCTCCGTCTCATTACAGAATGGACAGACAAGCTGTAGACATTTACTCGTAACCACAGAACACCTTAAATCAGTGAGAAGTGATGGATTTTTTTCCTTGTAACTCTCATTCTTAGATGATGCTGCACTCTGCAGCACAGCTAGATTCAATAATGTGATTCAGAGAGCTAGAAACTACATTTAAGGTAACACACACACCTTGCTTTTAATCTCAAGTGTGAAGGTGCCTTGAGCCGAACACCAGTCATTCTACAGTCACCAACCAAATACTCATTCTTAAATTTGTTCCTCTTACTGAACATTTTGAAATAGTGATTTATTTTCTATTCTCCAGCCTCTTCACATACCTATGGTTTCTGGTAGGTCCAAGAGCTCATTGTGCTGCAAGTCAAGGTTGGTGATCTGCGTGCAGCTTCCAATCTCTTCAGGAAGGTGTTCAAGCTGATTGTGCGCTACATCCAGCGTTATGAGGTTACACAACTCACCTAAAAGCACACAAGAAAACCAAAACATCAAGTTCTTTAATGTGCAGCTCTAGACAATGACTTCCACACAGAGATTTATAGAGTCAGACAGATTTTGGGATAATCTGAAAAAAAAAGCTATTGCTACCACAAAGTTATAGATATAAAATAAGACATTACAGGATTATAATTTTATCAGTCAGATCTAAAAACTGATCAACAATTTTGAAAAACTCAGATAAAGCTATGATAGATTCTCTGAAGAAATCTTATTTATTGATTGATTTTCTTCTGACAGTTCAAGCTGTGGAATGTAAGTACGAAACCTATACCTCACACTTGTTTCAGGCTGACCAGAAGTTTAAAACATCATGGAGTAGGTTAATCATATTGAATTTTGAGAAATTTAGATCTGGTTTTATACCATGAATTACTTTCAGGAATAAAATCAACAATTAAGAGACATCAAAATTATTTGGCTGACAACCTAGATAATCCACCCGAAGTCCTGAGTGCTATTTCTAATCAGTTTTAGTCATCACAAAAACGGCAACACATGATAAGTACACTGTAAACCCATTTACATGGAGTATTATATTTTATGTACGCAAGCAGAGCTATAGCAAATAAGAGTCTGAAATAAAAGGCTTATCTGTTAAGCCTTAACTAGAGCTACTTTACACTGAACTGCTTCATTCCTTACATTTACACATTAATTTAAAAGTACAGCTAGGCACAACTCTCTGTGTACAGTAGTTTCACCTATTTTAATGACAAACATACTGTGTTCTGAGCAATAGCTTGTTGGGTTTAAAAATAAAAAAGTGTGTGCATGAATACAGGTGCATGCATTCACATTTTTTGCATCTGATGGAGGTGAAATTAATGCAAATGATTTGAACAGCTTCAACTCTATCCAGTAAAGATGAGGTCACTGTATTTGTGTATAAAAGCATGACTCAGTGCGTAACAAATCTGGAAGAATAGCAAATTCCTTTTGAGGAGCAAATGTCTATTTTTAAGCTTCAGTGTTGTATCTTTGACACAATCCTTTAAGGATTTTCCCACAGGCCTGCAAGACTAGTTTGGGCAAGTTCTGACGTGTAGAGTGCCTACCCATTAGATCAGCAGATAATCACAAATGGTGATTTAATACATCGTAAAACATTTATGAATTCAAACTCTTGTCTTGAGTTGCAGGTGTCATGTAGCCACAATACTTTCTACATATCACGAAACAGTTGTGAAAGGCCAGGAAAAAAAAAGCCAACCCCAACAGCTTCATTATTCCATTTTTCTTAGATTGTTAACATGTAACTGATCTTATTTCCTGCATTTAACAGCCCAAACTGGGATGTTTTTCTAGAAACTAGGCAGATGGAAATGTGAAGGTGGCGCTTAACCAGCTCCTCCATCACTGTGTGCGTGTCCCCTCTTTAAGTCAGCATTCAAGCGTATTCCAGGCAACCAGAGTCAACGCTCAAACATGCTGTATCCAGCACTGCATAAGCTACACGTTTCAATGCCATTAATATGCAGACGAAAGCAAATTTAAGAAAAAATTGAGCAAGAGTTAATGTTCTGTGGTAGGAGCGTCTTTTTGTTATTCTTAAAAACAAGTGGGCAAAGTGTAGAAGGCAACAGGAGGAGGAAGAAAAGCTTGAGGAAGACTTCAAAATCCCTCCCTTTAAACAAACAAAAAAAAGAATGAACCCCACAAATCTTTGGTAAGATAATTCAAGAACCTTCACACGCTTTGGGGCAGTAGTTTTCACTTCGTGATTGCTGTTTTCGTTTGTTTTCACTTCAGACCTAAACCAATGATGTCAAATTTGAAATATGGCATAAATTTCATTTCATCACACTGATTTCTCATTTACTTGACTCTTCCCACTCTACATCTGCTGAAGTTGAAGAAAGACTTGGGTTTTTGCAGCAACATTTGCTGCACTTCATTTTTGCACCTGCTGAAAACTTTGACAACAGCAAGCTACGTGTTTGAAACAAACATCTTACCAGCTAATTCTGGGCAGAGAAAAAAAAGAAAAAGAGATGCCTATGTTTATTTAGACAATTAAGGGCAAGCTAACACTTTGGTTTAATTTGGATAGCCATACTTAATATTGTTATATTAAAGATGCAGGCATTATTTTAAAAAGCGACATTGGTAAACATTTAATAAAAATTTTGAATGTTAAAATAGATTGAGGACTGCTCAACAAATTTTAGACTTTAGAGCAGAAATCAACCGAAAGTTAAAGCCCTATCATGAAGTACAGTGACTTAACGAAAGCAATTTCAAGAGATATTATAATATTCAGCTTTTAGTTCACATTGCTCAGTAAGGAATCTTGCTCTTGGACATAATACTTGTGGGTTGACAGCATCTCACGAAAATGTTTTTTCCCCCTAAGGACAGAAGAAGAGGGGAGGTGAAGTGCTGTTAGCACTGAAATTCTTTCAATAGTTTAACTTGGGTTGCTGACACAATACAGAGAGTGTACAAGTCGACAAAAAGCACTTGAGGTACATTTCTCCTGTTGTTCTCCATGACGTATGGAAAAAATTCTTACATCCAATATGCTTAACAAGGTGAAAAACATTTAGGTGATGTGGTAGAGGCTCATCTTCACATGCAAAAGCACACCAAGGACCCGCAGTGGGTGGCAGGACCCAAATACTGGCTGCCCAGGAGAGCCATCAGCCGCATGGCCAGCGTGAGACCCATCACAGTGAGTGAGTGGAAAGGCTCTCCAGAGCACCTTGCAGACTGAGGGCTGTTACTGCGTATGGGGCTTGAACACCTACTATGAGGTGCAAGGAAGAGGAACTTGGGATGGTGAGAGTTGCTATGGGATCTTTAGGGAAGGGGAAGGGGAGGAATCAATGCAGTTTAGGAAGGACAAGTGTGGGGAAATAGAAGAATAAGGAAATAAAAGGGTCCAGTCCTTTACAAACCAATGCTGGGCACGTCCTGTGGCCGATCAGCACCATCTGCCCTGTCTTCTCCTTAAACTCTATTTTCCTGGGTGAGAGGCTCTCTGTTCTGCGTGCATGGAGGTCTGAGTACCAGCAACACTGCAGTTAATGTGACCAACACTACTGAAAACATCCCAGTACGTGGGACCAGAACCACTCTGGGCACGGAGAGCGCGCTGCCGCCAAGCCAGTAGCTAAAGAACAGGGACGGCTCTTTCACCGGCTGACTGACGGCAGTGATTTACCCCGTGAATGGACACACTGTGCACGGCGCTGCTGCCCAACAGCAGCTCTTTCAAAAATTATGCCAGGATTAAACACATGGCATAAACAATCGATACAAAAAATAATGATCTGCAAGAACAAAGAGGCCAAACTTAAGGTCATCTGCATAATGCTCTTCCTAGGAGCCGATGTAAAGCCAGCTTGTTTCAGTGACTGGAAGTGTCCTCCTTATTGTCTGAACAGTGGCAACTGTACTGAAGGAAACGCTTCTCAAAAAAGGGTGAAAATAAGTTTCACCAAGACACAACTGACAACATACGTCAAAATCAAAAAGAAAGTTTTCCTAAAAGAAAGATTTTTCTCAGGTACAAAGAGAAAAACAGCTAATGAGGGAGAAGCTCATGATCTTATTCATATTAAAAGAATCAACATTTGCTCTTTTCTGGTGTACTACATAAACTTTGCTAAAATGTGTTCATATCTCAATTTAACAGAAATATGCCAGCTAGAAATGTGCTGCAGCTCAAAATCAGCCTTACCCAGAAAGCAGTGTACTAAAGAAAAACCCATTCCTGTTCACTACGTGGACAACTCCAGCATCAGTTCACCAAAGGACTGTTCAAACACCCAAAATCTCTGGAGTAAAGCAAGCACTACTTTAGGGAAATACTAATCACAGGTAAAATGAACTAACTCTTTTCGCCACAAGTAATGGCCAAAAGAGACAAATCTTAAGCTCATGGTAGCAAATAAAGGATTCTCTATGGACTACTTGCAGCTCCATTGAAGGGACAAGCATCCTCAGGACAATCAAAAAATAAACTCAGAAGCTGCTGGGGTTTGTGGTTGGGTTTTTCTTTTTTTTTTTTTCTTTTTTTTTTTTTTTTAAATACTATATTGCACTGTAATTGCATGGGAAAAAAAGCAATTGAAGCTCAAAATCTGCCAAGAAAGCAGACAGAAATTTTATGTACTAGCTGGCTTGACAATAAAAGATTTTGAAGCAGAAGTAAATGTCCATATGAAATACATAAAGCAGTTTCTCTATAAATAATCTTCACAAAACTGTTAGTTACACCCTATTATGTATATTTAAATACTTGTACTTTAAAAGGTTCTACAAGATACAAATTTCAGACGACTCACATGCATTTTTCAGATAAAGTAGTTTGTGAAGACTCCCAACCACCTTACAGTTAAAAACATTGTTAAAAATACAGCTATCTCAACTATCCTTAAAAAAGGTGGGGTGAGCAATCACCTCACTGTTGTTCTCATATGCATGGAGACTAAATGTTACAGTATGACAAAGCTAAATATACCTGCTGAAAAACCCCAGCATTATGAAACGACTAATATTTTCTGCATAATGAGGCAGAATTATAGTCCCATTACATGGCCAACCTTGAAAGCCTGTTACGGCAAGAGGACCAAGTTACATGCCCTGACTTACGTAACTCTGAAAATTCTTCTTGGCTATTTAAAAAACAAAGTATGTCTTCATTAAAAAAAATAAAAGTACACACAAATTAACAGTCATACAGGGAGAGAGTATAGGTCAATAGCAAAGAGGCTTCTGTGTCTCCTACCACTAATTCACTCAGTGGGCAACACTCTTGCACACCAAACACAATTTGTAATACAGCCTGTTTTCCACTGGATTAACTCCGTGCCTGCCCATGCTTAAGCAGATTGAAAATTGTGAAATCCTTCACAACATGATAAATCCTGGGCCAGATGACACAGCAAGAGGATCAAGACTCTTATGGAAAGTACAAGGAAGAAGAGAATGCAAATAGTAGTGGGACTTCAGGCTG